AAAATTAGCATTCTAATTTCAGGAAGTTTTAGCGTTGGTCATTTACTCTTGATTTTATAATACTAATTATTATAATTTAAGAAAAAGATAATTACAATGAGCAATTATAGATAAAAGGTTATCTTGGAAGCCCACTTATTTAATGACAAAAAATTAGCATTCAAATAATCAAGTTTTGATTTGTAATTGTGAACAAAATTAACAAAGCAAAGAAGAACAATGATTAAACCAATAATTATGAGAAATTTATTAAATCAAGCTAAAATAAACAATATTTAAAATGGATAAATTTGTTTAATAATTAAAAAATTAGCAAGAAAGAATAAATTTAATTCATTATTTAAATAATAACAACACATAATTTAACTATTTTACTATTATTATAACTAATAAAATAACATATCTATCACACTTCCCAAAATACATTTTCCCTCCTACTTTTCCTTCACTTTCTTCCATAATAAAACAACATTTTCTCTCCATTTCAATTTTCGCTCACCTCCATTTCTCTCCCTTCCAAATGTTCCTTTACCTCTATTTTCCTCCCTTCCTTTGTGAACATAGTGTAAGAGAATGTTATTTTCCGCAAATTACTATTTGCCGCCCACCATTACAAAGCAATTGCCAAATTTGCCCCTCTCCACAAATTCCGCCCATTTAATTAAATATTATGTAAAATAATTAATTTGGGAGAGAGTTATTGATATTAATTGACTTTTTTATTTCCGTACTTTCTCTCAGTGGCAAGTGTTTTAGGAAAACTAGTTGGTGCCCGGCCGATTGGCCGGTATAGTTTGTTTCCTTATTTATTTATATATAAATATTAGTTTAGTATCCTAATTAATTAATATTATCAATTTGTTCAATTGGGCTACTCTTCTCTTTTATTTTCTTATAGCTCGAGTTCCTATAATCAATAACCAATAATAGTTTTTTCTCCAAAGCTCTCGACTATCAATTAAGCATTGTCAATCTACAATAGATTAATGATCTGTGCCAAATGTTTTATAAGAATCTACGCGAAGATTGTAATATGAACTATGGAGATGTATTATTAGATGAATTGAATATGTAAAAAACAATCATCAAAAGTAGGTGACCTGTTATATATAAGTAATAGACTAATAGTTAATCAAATTGCTAAAGTAGCTGGTTTTAGATAATTGTTCATCGTATTGAGAGTTGATTGTTATTATTGGCTTTATTTATCTTGTTAGTGGTTATATTACAACAAAACAAACCTTTTGAACTCTAATCACTTACGAACATTTTTTTATATAATGCACTGACCAACATTATTGCAAACACTTAAGAAATATTAATTCTAAAGTACTCAAATACATCAATGCAATTGAGACTACCATTACCATAAGAATCCAACAATGAAGTAACATCAAGCTTTAATTTCCAACTTACATAGTGCTTAAGTAACTGGGTTATTGTTAGGTGGTAGAATCGGATTCAATTGAATTGACCCAGAATTTTATTTTAAGACATATGTATCCAATATAATTAGTGGAGAATTCAGTGACCCCATTATAATTTATGTTATCATAGAATGATTTTATCTTTAATCTGTTTTAAAAATAGGAAATTAAAAAAAATCCTAAACCTAATTCGCGTACCCAGCAACCCTTCATCTTCCTCCTTAGCCGCAAGTGTACGTTCCTTTTTGTCTCTCTCTCTCTTACTCTTCCTAAACCAAAGAAAACCCATCGAAAGAGAACCAACTGACTTTCTTTCCTCCCGCAATTATGCAAAGTTGCAAACCCACACCTATTTTCTTTATTCAATGTGCCCCATCTCTCCATATCTTTCTTCCTCTCCTCCAAAGCGAAGTACACCCATGGAAACCATAGCTTCCAGTGACATGCAAATGGTATTTCAAGAGATTTCTGGTCGGATTTTGTGTTCTCTGTTTTCCCAGGTCCAATTTTCGCTTACAGTGTGAGAGATTGAACTAAGAGAGAGCGGTCAGGACCAGTAGAGAGAAGGATAATAGGATAAGCTCAAAATCGGTCGCTGGGGAAATGGAATGGAAGGGGAAGGAGTAGGCAATCTCGTAAGGGGAGAAGAACTTTGAGACGTCGAGGCGCAAGGTCCAATTGAGCGGCGGAGAGGTTGTTTTTTAAGCCAATAGAGGCTACAGAGGATATTCAAGGCGAGAGCACGATTGGGATTTTGGAGGAGAGTAGAGAGAAATCGAGTTTGAGGGGCAGTGAATTTCTCACAGGGAGAGGAGAAATCGAGCTTGAGGGGCAAGAGATACAGAGGCTCTGCATAGGGAGAGGGGAAGACGAACGTGGATGAAATAAACACGGAGAGTGAATTTACAACTAAACCCCTCCGACCTGTGCGGGTTGGCGAGAGCATGCTGAGGTGGCAGAATTTTTTTCTTGACATTGCCTTATATTTATTTGTAGATTTGTAGATTAACTCCTTAATTTCCACCATTACATTTAATCTCCTTAATTTCTCTCGGTGGCAATCATGAAAAAAACGAATGGAATCAATTCCACCTCATAATCTATATGCCAATTAAATTACTATAATCATTCCACCTCATAAATCTTGGGGCTAAGATCAGGGGAGGACCTAGGTTGTTGGTAGGTTTGTCAACTGATAAACCTTGATTCAATTTTAGAACAAAATTTCTTTGTAAAATTTTGATTTATTAATGGTGGTATTTGAATTCAAAATTATTTGACAATCCTTGTTAAATTTGTTTCATTGTTGAACACCCTTAATGTACATGGCTAAGTGAATCTCAGCCCTTCCAACTCATTAAAATCTAATGGCTCAGATTAATTCATTTTAATGAAGGGTAATATAGTAACTGCAAACTTTATAAATTATCAATTATTAATTAATCTAATTTGCCGGCGAAGGATCCCACTTCAGCCAAAAAATTTCCCCCGCGCCGCGACTCTTCCCCGACCTTTCTCGCTCACGCCCGGCAGAAACAATTCCTCGGCGTCAGAGAGAGAGAGAGAGAGAGAGAGAGAGAGAGAGAGAGAGAGAGAGAGAGAGAGAGAGAGAGAGAGAGAGAGAGTTTTCCGGCGACCGGATGAAACTTTTCCGGCGACCAGCGACGACGGATAAGGATTTCCCGGCGACAGTGTTGGATTTGTGATGTTTGCTGACCTATTTTATAATGTTTGTATAGATTCAGTTTGTATTGTTTGTCATTTTTAGTGACATTTTGTACGGTTAGTATGTTTTGTACTGTTTGTCGGTTTATTTTGTAATGTTTGTACGCTTTGTTATTTTGTAATGTTTGTCGGTTTTTTTTGTATTGTTTTTAAACTTTGTTATTTTTGTGCACCATGTTTATCATTTTTGTCAACCATGTTTGTAATGTTTTTTATGTCTAAAAAACAACGTGGTTGACTTTTGGATGAAACTCCTCTATATAGGGATGGAGCCTCCAAAGTCAACCCGAGTGTTTTTTCCAGTTAGTATGGATTGTCGGTCTAGTTTGTCATTTTTGTCCACCATGTAAGTAATGTTTGTATGTCTAAAAAAACAACCGAGTTGACTTTGAGACGGAGCCCTCCATATAGGGATGAAGCCTCCAAAGTCAACCCGAGTGTTTTTCCATTTTTTATGAATTTTTGGTCTAGTTTATCATTTTTGTCCACCATGTTTGTATGTCTAAAAAACACCCGGGTTGACTTTGGGAAGGAGCCCCTCTATATAGGGATGGAGCCTCCAAAGTCAACCTGATTGTTTGTTTCTTTTTGTATGGTTTGTATTGTTTGTCGGTCTAGTTTGTATTTTTTGTACAGTTCATATGTTTGTAATGTTTGTAAATATGTTTGTATGTTTTGTCGCTCTAGTTTGTACTGTTCGTATGTTTGTATGGTTTGTACTTATTGTAAGTATGGTTTGTATACTTCTTAATTTTCCATAATACCCAAACTACCCCTGTCATTAATTAAATAGTCCTTCCCACTTTTTAACCATCAGATTGCTATATCAAGATCTAAGGGCTGGGAGGGGCTTAGTCAAGTGACTAAGCATACCCTTAATCACTGGATCCTCTCTCAATCTTGGGTGAGTAACCGTCCGACGGTAGGGATGGCAATCAAACCCATGGCCGCGGGTATCCGACCGCCCCCGACCCAGTCAACGCGGGGAATCCCCGTTCTGACCGGGTATGGGGCGGGTATGGCTAAAACCCGCAAAAAGTTTGATGGGTATGGGGCGGGTATGGTTTTAGCCTCCCCTGCCCCATACCCATCCCCATACCCACCCCACTAAGATAATTTCTTCATATATAAAAAAAATATGTGCATCAAATTATAATCTATCAATGATGATGAGGATAAATTGAGAAAATAAATAGTAGAAATGCAATTGAGTGACCACCTTAATCAAAATCTAATTCATTTCTCTCAATTCTCATTTCACTCTTTCACTTTCCCCCTTGTCAACAAGATTATGTTAGTTAATTATTATTTAGTAGATGTATTAGAGTTAGAACATAATAATTTGAAAAATATTATACTCTATATTATGTATTAATGGATATTTTAGGATTATAATCTTTGAACCATATTAAAAAAATGACCGTGTTTTGTTGACTTCATGATATAACATGTTCGTTTAGATTTATAATTAGAACTTTTCCTGTAAGTTTTAACTCTAATACATATGTTGGATGTACGGGTATGAGTATTACCCATGGGTACCCGAAACCCATGGGTATGGGGATGGGTTTTCAAAACATTCCCCGCATGGGTATGGGGCGGGTATGGGTTTGGGTATTTGAAGATGGGTATGGGGATGGTTTAAGCAAACCCGCCCCAAACCCGCCCCATTGCCATCCCTATCCGACGGTGAGTAGCGGACGCCTGGTTTCGTACGCGATCCGACGTTGAAATTCATATGCCACCCGACGCCGTGTTTCGAACGCCGTCCGACGAGGGATATTGGACGCCGTCAGAACTCCGGCATCAGACCGCGACTTCGATTGGATCCGAGAGATCTACAGTTACATGACACCTTATGTTTCCCAGAATCCTCGAGCTGCTTATATGAAATACAGGGATCTGGATATTGGGATGAACGACGTTGAGGGCAAGACTAGTTACAGGGAAGCGCGGGTTTGGGGTGCCAAGTATTTCAAGAACAACTTCGATAGGTTGGTGAGGGTGAAGACGGTTGTGGATCCTGATAATTTGTTTAGGAATGAGCAGAGCATTCCTCCCTTCTCTGTTTGATGACTAGGTCATTGAAGAACCTTCACTTGTGTCATTTAAGTTTTAACATTTGTGGTAGGTGTCTCATTATTGATATATTAAATTATTAATTAATTATTAATATATAAAAGCTTAAGTTGTGAGTTATATTCATTAGTGACTCTCATTGTCTCACACTCCCCTATGTGTAAGTGGAGAAGTTTCAAGTCCTTCTTTTACCCCACTCTCCATGCAACAACATTTGTGTTTAGTTATTGTTCGCTAGGTTTTCGTCTATGACTATTTGCACAAATCATGGCCTTTGTGTTTTGGTATTGTTCATTAGGTTTTCGTATATGGTTTTTTGCACAATCATCGCCTTTGTGTTTAGTTATTGTTCGCTAGATTTTCATCTATGGTATTTTGCACAAATCATCGGCTTTGCCCACCATTTTGCAGCCCATCTCAAAATGTTGTCGGTGAAATTCTAAGTAGTTCCCACCACCGTTTTCCAAGGCCGCTACCACGATTTTTGTATAGGGACCGAGTTTCATTATCTTTGGGGTTTTTTTGTTGTTGAGCATGATCACAATTGAACCCAAACACATGGGGTATCCTCACTTGAACACAAATAATCGCCTTTGTCCACTATTTTGCTGCACATCTCGAAATACTGTCGACGGAATCCTAGTTGTTCCCCATCATCGTTTCCCAAGGCCGCTACCACGAGTTTTGTATTTGGACCGAGTTTCATCATCTTTAGTGTTCTGTTATTGTTCGCTGGGTTTTCGTCTATGGTTTTTTGCGCAAATCATCGCATTTGCCCACCATTTTGCAACCCATCTCAAAATACTGTCGGCGGAATCCTAAGTTGTTCCCCACCATCGTTTCCCAAGGCTGCTACCACGAGTTTTGTATCAGGATCGAGTTTCATCCTCTTTAGTGTTTTTGCTTTCTTTTTTTCCTTTTAATTGAACATGATCATAATTGAACCCAAATCCATGTGTATCCAAGCTAATTCGATCCAGTCAAAGCGACTTGAAACCGACTTTAGCATTTATAAATTTCTTTTTTCTTCTTCTTTTGGTAGGGAAGACAATTGAACCCGAATCTAAGATTTTGACAAGTGTTGTATTGTGAGCGAGCTTTATCCGCTTTTGTAATTGGCAGGTTGGCCAAGTGTTAATTTGTTAAAAAATTATTCAATGCGAGTTGAACACGTTGTTTACCAGTTTTAGATCGAAAGTGAGTTTTGTACGTTTTAATTTTTTTATTTCTCATTTTCCTTTTCGTTGAGAATGACAATTGAACTCTGACCCATCGTTGACGCGTTTTGTATTGAGAGCGAGTTTTATTCATTTTAGTATTTTTTTAATCTTTTTCTTTTGGTTGAGAATGACAATTGAGTTCAAACGCATGGGTATACAACCTAATTCGATCAGACCAAAGCGACTTGAACTCAATTTTACAGGTTTTCGGTGAGAGCGAGTTTTATTTTTTTTTAACTGGCGTGTTGTGTCAGGTGTGAATTTGTCCAAAACTCGGTCCAACCAGGTAAAAGCGAGTTGAACTGGTGTTGACGAGTTTTGAGTCGGTAGCGAGTTTTAGCTTTAGTGTTTTTCATTTCGCTTTTTCCTTTTGTTTGAGAAAGACAATTGAACCCAAATCCATGGGTATCTAACATAATTTGACCTAATCAATGCAGTTGAACCTACTCAAACCTGCAAGCAGTACAAAAATTTCATAAAAGGAACCACGATTAGCTCAAACCCAAAAAAAACCCATACAAATTGGAACATTAGCTGTAACTCCCTACCTTATACGTATTACCTAATCATATTGTTCATACATTTGCAGCGGAAATAATCTCGGGTGTTACATTAATTACCAAAATTTACCCAAATAAAATTTCGACATGAATTACCCGTGTAATGGGCTAACAGTTCTTGCACCTTATCGTGCAAAATAATTCATCTGAATCCCTTTCATTCATAGACATACAAATATACTCATAACCTTATACATTGCTTCTCATAGCCACAGGCATAGTTTCATACTACACAACTGCATACCTTACTAATACATGTCATAGTCGTCACAACTTACACAACCACACAAATATACACATATCAACTTTCCACACCTGTGGATATGTAATACTACATCAAAAGCTAGTATGAACATTAAAAACATTCTCAAAACATTTTTACAAAAGCGGTGTGGATCACTGGCCAAAATCCCGAGTAGTCGTCCAAGCACAGAATAGTTGAAGACAATACCTCATCTTGCCTTCAACTCTTGTTCAGCTCCCACCTATACACCTATCTACTGCTGTTGCTGGTGATGATCTGCTTACACATAGCATAAGCAGAGAAAAAGGATAAAAGAGGGTTAGCTCATGGTTGAGTGAGACAATCATTGCATCGTGAGTTCATAACAAAGCATACTCCTACCATACATCTAGCAATCAAGCCAAAACACTAGGATCAGACCCCAGCCATCCGACATCCCAATAGGGAAAAGACACAACCATCTTGACTTATGCATATGCATCTTATCATGTTTTAATCATAGGAGCCTGGGTACTCCCATGCTAATTACTCTCCCGGGCATAAAGACCAAACATCTCGTGGATGTGGTCATATCGGACCCACCACTGCCGGTGTAGTCATATCGAACCTGACACCACTCTGGGTGTGGTCATATCAGACTCAACATCACTCTGTGTGTGGTCATATCTCATGATGAATCAACGGACAACACCACATCAGAGGTGTGACATAACATATCATAACGGAGTAATAGCATGGGGAGCCCTAATTACTATATAATTGACCATGAAACCAAATCACTCTTATTTGGTAATCTTATACATGATCTCATCTTGCTTAATCATAATTCGTTACTTGCACATGTACTTGACCTGGCCATACTTGGCTCAACATAGGTAAAACAGGAGTCGTATAATTGCACTTCCTCGAGATGAACCCTTGTGCAAGTCATCCTCCTTAAACATCATAATATCACCCTGGGAAGTTTATTCCCCCACTTATGGATCCAAATACAAACATAATATCACATCATGTCAAAACACCTACAACCATGAAGTCATATCAACAGTTAAGCCACAAATGACATGTATGCAATCATCAACATAAACAAGGTCCATATCCATTAGGGCAAGTCAATAATATCATACAACAGTCCAGGGTTCATCATATAGCAAAAAAGTCCATACACCCCTAATCATGCCATTCTAGTTCACCTATGTCAATTATAAGCATCAATATAATTATCATGATACGACAAACCCGGTATGCCGTGCTAATCCCTTACTAGTTCTGGTCGTTCAGACACCGATTTAAGCTTCCCGTACTAAAACGTCACTTTCACCAACGAACCCCGAATTAAAATTCGAGACCGTCCTAATATCCCCTCCAGTATCCCCGTCAATGTTAGTTGTAGGCTCCTGGTCAAATTCTCGATAAAAACACATCAAACCCTGGTCGGAGCTAAATTCAGCGATTTGGACCTCGACCTAAATAATTGCCGAAATTCATGGATTAGAACCAGAGGATTAATTACCTCTCTGTAGGAAGCTCGTATATGAAATCTGGGCTCAATCCGGCTTCCGGATACTCCGAAATCCTAATTTGACTTATTGGGAATTCAAGAAATTCCTGATCCAAATACTCGTTTTAAAGCTCTAAATCGATAAACTACGATAATTAGATGTATTAGGCATTACTTACGGGATTTTTGGATCACTAGACCTCAAGAATCAAGCTTTGAAAATTTTCCCCGAGCTCCCCTGTTTCTGCTCGCTCTGGTTTGAGGAAAATGGAATGCAAATGGGACGAAATGAAATGGAAGGGGTGGGGGATTTGTGCGGCAGTATTATTAGTAAAGTGGTCCGAACTGCTTTGCTTTCTGTCCTTTTCTATTTTTTTTTCTTTTATTAATTATATAGTATATATAATTAATATTTGTTTTTCTTTTATTAATTATATAGTATATATAATTAATACGTATACTTATCTGATCGATTGATAATTCAATTTGTGCTGAAATACTATCAAAACGCTCAATTTTAAATCGTGGAATTTTCTAGCGACTGAAATACGGGTTTAGCCGAAACGGGATGTTACATTAGCGTCATGAAAGAAGTTTAAAAATTAATAATCTATTCGACGACCTCTCTACTTTATGCAAGTTCATCGACCATATGCTATTGTAAATAACAAACCTATGAAAATAGTAATTAGCAATGAAATAAGATGACTTTCACTTTTTGGTCAACATTAAGATTATTACTTTTTAAAATATTTATCTTTGTGATATGCGAAGCGATAGCGAGCGGGCTTTTTCTAGTCAACTTTCACTTTTTGGTAAAAATTAAGATTATTACTTTTTACAATATTTATTTTTGTAATACGTGAAGCGATAGCGAGCGGGCTTTTTCTAGTCATTGTCAATAAGAACATGATCTCCTTTATTTAATGGTGGTTTTATCTTGTCCATATGCTTTCCCTACCTTGTTTAGTAAAGAAGCCCATCATGATGCATTTTATTTAATTTACCTTCTCCTACCATTTAACAAATACTCTTACTGAGCTCGCGTTTCGCAGCCGGGTTATTAGTAATGTTGTGCAATCATGATGCAAAAACGACTTTATACGTCAATTTGGGGCTGGTTGTCACCATTTCAGCTAAAGGTGACAAATAGATTGTATTCATGTAATGGTGGATATAGATTGTATTCATGCAATGGTGGATGTCGATCTATGGATCAAATGAATTGGTAGATTGGATCATGAATCCAAGTGGTATCTAAACATTGGACCAATATGAAAATCTTAAGTTTATGTACTAAGATATCATATTAAAAAGTTGTAGGTATCAAAACATAATTTTTCAATGATATTTATCATTAAAAAATAAATTTAGCTATTAAATTGTAAGATATTAGAAATAGATATTCTAAATTGTAATCCATGAATCTACCAATTGAATTGGATTTGGATTAAGAATTCATTTGGTAG